ATTAGGTAAAATAAGTATTTCTTGGCTCTTGCCTTTAAAATGTCAAAATGGCAAGAGGCTGTTTTGAAGGCTGTTATTTCACAGCAAACACATTCAGTTTAATCTGTGGTACATTGTAATCATATGCACAGCTTCCACTTTGGACTAATTGTGTCTATACTGTCAGCCCAAATCCAGATGTTTCTATTTTAGCAAAGTACATACCTGTCTTCCATTTACAGTTGAGTAATGGAAAACTGCTTTTAATATTTTCATAAAAACTTATTTCCATCAAAAACCTTCAAGGTGCTTCCTCTGTATTTATCTTCCATTTTGACAAAGTACAGAATTTCCAGCAGTGCATTCTATGCTGTCCTAAGTACTTTTGTAAAGGCAAAATCCTCTTGAATGGCAGAAGGTTCCTCCATCATATGCAGTTCCTAAAACATCAGACTGGTGAAGATTTGAGACAAGTAATTTCTAAATTAACTGAAAATGGAAAATGTATATGTACTAGATTTAAGCTCGTTTAGTAATTCTCAGCCATGCTACTGGGATATGTATTTGATAGGGAAAGATGAAGGAGGGTAATACTTCAGCAGTAGGAAAGATTTTTCTAATTAGGATAAAGCAAAGCCCACCTTCTGTGACTGATCTTTGAGTGAGTGTATGTGTTTTTTTCTAGTCCTGTTTGGCCTTAAACAGTAAGGCATACAAGAAGTATGCACACATGGGACACAATAGAATTCAGACATAACAAAGATTCTGTTTGGACTTTCTATAAATATCCACTATAAAGGAACCTAGACATACAAGAGGCAAGTTCAAGGGGAAGATGACACTGAACTCCAGTGATGTATTTATTCCCTATGTCCCCCAATGATTACATAATGCTGTTAAATAATATTTAATTATTACCGTTACATAATCAATGTAAGTCAACTTTCATTGAAATGTCTTTTGATGACTAACTTTGTGGAATAATGAGGTTTGCATTCAGGTGTGGGAAGGAATTGCACTGGTTACAGTGTTGTGACTTCAGACTGTCTTGATAGTTTCAGGCACAGGAAGGGTAGCAGAGACGCCAGCAAATTCTCTGCAGAAGGCCCAGGGGAGAACTCAAAGGCTGTCTTGAGTGGGACAGCAGTAGGGGATCTGTAGGTGATTTATCTGTATCAATAACCTGTGAAAGTAGTAAGAAAATTATTATCAGTGTGGCAGCAGTCTCTCGTTAGATGGTGATTATCCTGAACATCGGCAGTGTTTTTGTGCTGTGTATCAGCTAAAATGCTAATTAAGATGGAAGGGATGAGGTAGAGTTGAGGTGAAGTCATCCTCTCTGTCTCCGAGTCAGTTCACTCAAAAAAGGAAGTAGCTTCTTGGAATATTAAACTTGAATACAGAAATGAATGCAGTGTGAAAATCAGTAGGGCATTTAAGCTCAGGTTTTACGTGTAATACTGATTTTTGAATCACATATCAGTGAGGAAAACTGGATACATGTAAATTCAAGGGGTTATTAAAGAAAAAGTGGAGAAATGCATACAATTATGAACGTAAAAAAAAAGTGTGGAAGTACTACAGCAGCAGGAAAAAAGGACTGGATAGACTGAGGGCATTATTGAATTTTATTTTTTTTTAAGCTGGAGGAATCCATCTGACTAACTTACCATGGGCAGGGACTGTTTATTTTGTGGTGGTTTAACACAGTGGCACACTAATCTCTCAAAGCAGACGGTTTTGGAAGAAATTCTTTTTCTCTTAAGAAATGTTGACACTCCGTTTGCTTTTGGAAATGAAAAAGCCTCATTGCATTCCTATAAACTGTGTCAAACTTTTGCTTATTTTAAGAAGCACAGTATTAAATACACGGTTGTTATTTTCCAGATATTTTGTTGCAGTTGGCATTCTTGTTGATAAGTGTGAATCTCCTGGTAGTATTTCTCTGCATAAAGGTTGGCATTATGCCCTAGTAACTCCAGTAAGATACGTGTTACCATCTTATTTTATAAGCCATGGCTAGTTTTGCTTCTGTAGAAAGCATATTTATTCTATGCCATTTTTGTGTTTAAAAGCTTAAAAAGCCATGAAAGGGAATTTAGACAGTTTCAGTATGTTGTGAACTCGGCAGTGCTCTCAAGGCTCCTGTTTGGGATAAGGATGGGATGAGAGACCATTCTAGCATCACACATGCTCACATTTTCGTTGGCAGTTTTGATTGTGTCGACTGCCTAATTAGCTGCTCCACAAACCCTCCAATGTTATTTTAAATATTTCTACAGTTTAATCATGCAAGAGAGAAATAATGGGATATTAAGTGAATTCTTAGAGTGCAGACATTGGCCCTAGTGCCAAGTTAATTTCTGCTTTCTTGTCAGTCAGGCAAAATCTTACTGTTCAATGTTAATGTTGAATGTTTGGGGGTTTTTTTGATTACTGTGGTCTGGGAAAAGCTTAGTGTGACGAGTTTCAAACCCCTGCAAGAAAGGGTATTGATGAACCAAAGAGTGAAGCTCTTCCCCAGTTTCAGAGCAAGATTTATTAAAACAGACCTGTTTCTTGCTTGCATTCTCTTTTGTTCTAAAGATGAGAGGAAAACTACTGCTTTTCAAGTGTTGATTCCCATGATGATAAAAGGCACCAAGGCTATATACTACAGTGATCAAGTTGCAAGTTGTTTAACGTTGTTTTCCTGGTGGTTTGTAGAGTGGCTTAATACAGAGTTTCTAAGAGAAATTTGTGTAATGTATGCCTTGACAAAATAGGCGTTGCCAAAGTGTTTTACTGATGTTACCATCAGTGATATGATGTATTGTTTGGAGCTGTCTTGACTTTGCTGAAATTTCAAGAGCCTTCTTGCAGACCTCCATCACAGTGCTTTTAGTCTGCATTCTAGCCTCAGAAATCTTTGTAATCAGGTGATACAGCAGTAAGAAATGTCTAGTGTCACCCCAAGAATCTTATCTTACCACTGACTCTTGGGGGCAGAGTCAAAATGCAAGAAAAGGCATAGACCTCTTCTGATGTGGAAAGTATTAAAGAAATAGAGCATACCTGTTTAAATGTGAGGTGTGTATAATTTAATTTTTTCCACTAACTTTTTAATTCTCTTTTTCTTGCTTGGATAAAAAGGAGTTAACCTTTTGAGGTGCTGTAGCTGACTGCACATATCACTGATACGTACCATAATTGACATCAATGGAATATCAAAGATGTGGACATGACAATCAATGCCTTAGGCTTTTTATGGCATCCTTTTAGTTGAGCATAGTGGGAGACTATGCAAGAAGGTAACCGGAATTTGGTAGAAACAGGCAGAGAGGGCAGATGGGAAATTAATTCAGTTTTTCCAGTTCTGGGAAATGTTATCCTGGATAATTGAGCAAAAACCCACATCTTTTTTGTACGTTTTTCTTCTAGGCTCTGGCAAGCTGTTAGCAAATTGGGTGAAAAATGTTCATGGGTTCCACTTTACCAGTGTAACAAAGAACAATAGCACATTTTGAAGACTAATTGGGAAGCATTAAAAAGACTATTTTGTGCTGCTGCTTGAGAGCTCTCTAGCTCCCAGAACAGTCAGTTTCCAGCAACTCTCTGAGGATCTGCTGTCAAAAATAGGGTTATGAAGCAGAAGCCTTTGATTTCCTGTCAAATCTGTGCACACCTACCAGGGTGCGAATCCTATAGCAGTGGTCATGCACATGCCTACTCTCACTCCATAGTTCTCTGAGATTACAAGGTTAATGAGGTAATAATTAGTAATTCCAGGAAACAAATGTTTAGGATGTATAGTTGGGAAGATGGTTTTCATTTGAGCTGTTCAATAAAAATTTTGCATTGTGATTTTGAACCTAGATTTGATTAGATATTTTTTTTCTAATTGTCACTTTGCATCAGTTAGTTGGTCTTCTAAGAGAAGTCAGTTGTTTTAGTTGTGTCTTATGTTTGCATAGTTTTCAGAAAGAACTAAGAACTTAGGCTGTACATCTTTGTTAAGAATTGTATATAGCCTCTTACCCTGTTTCTTGACAGTGGCTGAAAGTAACCAGAATGGAACAGCATTATTATATGCCCGTCATCTTAATGTAATTCCCCGAGTATTCTCCCTGATGCTGTTTTGCAGCTTAGGGGCTTCCTGAGCCCATGATGCTTTCTGCCTGCTTAGTGCCTCTAGGGACAGGGTCATGACCAAGTGGGAGTGCTTGATCAGGGCTCTGACCTTCCGTTATACTTTGCTCAACTGAAGTGACACTTTCAGGCAGCAAGTACTGCAACCATGGTGGAGGGCTGTGTCAATTGCTGTCTGAGAGCCTAGTGTGTGTGTATTCCTGGGGAGTGGCTGTTGTATGCGTTGGTGATCTCCACTTTCTTGGTATGCGGGGTAAGGATACTTTTTTTGGAATTGAGTGAGGCCTATTAGGTAGATTATAAGCAATTTTGGAATAAAAGCAGAATAGTCCCCACTCACAGGGCAGTGTTATTGTTATCCTCATAAGTGCTTTATTTCAGTAAACCTCACTTTGTACCTTGTACTCAGAATTTTATTGCTCCAGGGTTAGATAGTGGCATGGTTTGGTTTTGTTGTTTGGTTTGTTGGTTTTTTTGTTTTGTTTGTTGGTGTTTTTGGGTTGTTGTTTTTTTTTTTAGTAGTTGTTTTTATTTATTTATTTTTGTCTGCTCCTCAGAATTTAGGTTCCTTTGGTTCAGACCCACCATTCTGGACGTTTGTATCTGTTGTTGCATTAATTGTGTTTGTAGGTAGGAAAAATATACAGTTGTGAGGTTACTGAAAAAAATGAGTTTGCCTAAGAGAAGTGTTGCTTGTGGAAGGGTTAACGAGAAGGGCTAGCAAGTAAACAGTAGGAATTCTGTTTGGAATTCACTTTGGTCAGAACTATAGTGAAAAAAACAAATATTTTACAACGGTAAGAGCATTACCTTATAGTAAACATTATCTTAGAGTAAGCATTGCCTCATCTGGAACATGTAACATTTTAACACACTCTTTTTTAACTTGACAGGCAAGTATCTGCTTCCCAGCTCAACAGGGCAGCAGCAATGGAAACTTGCGGATATGTCCAATCTTGTTCGCCTGCACTACCAAACACTTGGGAAGTCAGCACCTTCCCTTACTGCTAATTTGGTAAGTAATTTTGCAAAGCTTGGAGTGTACGAAGAAAAAATAATCTGTTGCACTTCTGTATTTATTGGTGGGGGTATCGGGATCAAACTAGAGCTGATTTTTAGATCAGCTTCTTGTCCCTGAGCTGCTTTTTAAAAGTACCTAATGCATTCCTGCATATAACGTTACTTAATATGTTGAGTGCAGCTGAGTAACGTTTATGGTAGCAGCAACTCTGAATTGGGATACTGGATTTTGCATAAAGTCTGAAGTCTGAGCTGAATATTGCATTGATGCAGCCCTTTGCCTTTATTTAGTTTCTTTCCTTAAAAAAAAAGGAAAAAAAACCAAACATGCATATAAAGATAGCAACAGAAGGTGACTGTGCTTTCTCTTGATTATTGTTTTCTATCAATGTCTTTATTTCCACTCTGCAGGACTCTGTCCTCAGGACAACTTAGCTGTATAAAGCATAAGCTTAGGTTTTTGGATGAAATGATCAAGGAAGAGAAAAAGGAAGAAATGCCTCATACACTAAAACTTTCAGCTCTTTTTTTTTTTAAGCACTGATTATGCTATTTTGTGGTTCTGTATATTAGGATCCAAAGAAGTGTTGAAATTTAATGCAGCACCCCATATAGTAGCCTATACTTTTCTTCAAAGGCTTACTTGAATTGCTTTAATATAGTTCATGTTGTATAAAAAAGCAGAAAAGTTTTATTAATGTTTCCCCCTTGTCCCTCTTCTGCCTTTCCACTGGTTACCAAAACTGCATTGATCCATGTTTATTTTCTAGTGTAAATTTTTGTTTCCACATGATGTTCACTTTAAAGAAGACTATGATTAAACAATGCTGAACAGATACCACCATGCCAGTTTTTAATATTATACCAGCATGTAGATGTCTGTGTTCTCTACAAATCTGTCAGAAATAGTATTTCACTTCAAGGGCAACAAATCTGCATGTACAAATGTAACTGTGACTTCTCCTTAGTGGTGGTGTTAATTGTGGCTCTTTGGGCAGATGTGGTTTATTTGACTCCATGCTAATTACAGAATATGTTTTTGGAAGTTGAGTGCTTTGAGCCCTAATGTTTTTCGGGGAACTAAATGTTAACCTATTGATTTCTGGTTTCTAGTTTGTTAGGAGAAACAGTATTTGGGTTATGTATATTTGAAATGAAAATAGATGAAAGGTCAGAAATCAATATACATTACATAAAAATGGTACAGTTTTTCCTCTTCTGGAGTTAAGAATTAAAGCCATAATTTCTTCTAATGATCTGAATTAACTAAATTTAAGAAGTGTTGTGTTGCTTTAGTTTTCTATTTCTGTGTGAACAATTACTAGTTGTCATGCTACTAGCAGCATTCTGCTCGTTTTGGTGTAATGCTTAACCTATAGAGAAGATTCAGCAGCATTTTGAGGAAAAGTATTTTGAATGGTCATAAAACAAGAGACTAATGAAAAATTCATTGAGCCATGCTTCTTTTAAGGGCCTTTTGTTCATCACCTGTCAACTTTTATGGCATATTTGTCTGCTACAGACTTCTTCCTTCCTGTCTCTCCACACTTTTATCTGTGCCTGACTGCAGCTTCTTTCATGCTGGTGCAAAAGCAGGCGAGAGCCTTTTATGTAGATCTGAGCAGACTGTGCATAGGGTGGAGTTGCAGGTTCCTGAGAAGTATTTATTTCTTATCTGGAACTGCCATCAGACTTGCGTCCTGAGGAGTATAATGTTACACTGTCACATAGGCAGAGCTCTTCTCAAGCCTCCTTTGACAAAGTCTTGTGAAAGACTTTGGGCCTTTGCTTACAAGGGGCTGTAAGTTAGGGGTCACTCTGCCTCCTTCCTTTTTTTTTTTTTTTCCTTGGTTCTGTGGTTTGGCAGAGTTCAGTTTGTGAGGCCTATTGTTATGTTTCAGAAATGGGAGCTTTCAGCTGTGTGTAGAAAAGAGCTTGACTTTATGTAGAAGAGATCTGTGTGAAGAATTTCCATGTAGCTATTCAGTCTGAGTAGAAATGATTTAAAATGCAGTGTTTCATTCATCTGAAAAATTATTAGCCTGTTACTAGTACCTCTACTAGGGCTGATCATTCTTGCTGGCATTCATACCTATCTGATGTGGACCATTACTGTGGCATTGATTATGTACCAATATAGACAAGAACGACAAGCTAGGAGCAAAAAGTTACATACTGGTAGAATTGCAATAGAATTGTAGTAGAATTGCAAACAGGGGACAAAAGACTTATTTTTTTGCTTTTCTGTTAACAGTTTGTAAAAACTTCCCAAGATTACTTCCTGTGTCACAGATGTAGGTCTTTCTGTGGGAAATTGTAGATTTTAAAGCGGGTTAGGGAATATGGATTAAAAATGGACAGCAGGTGTTGCTTTAGATGGAGTTCAGTAGCTATGCATGGTTCACTCCTGTAATATAGGTAGTTGGGCTATAGATTAAAAACACAGTTTCCATATAGAACCATGTAAGTGGGTTTAAAATGTGTTTGGGACAGCTCATTTTCAGATGAATGGCTAGTGTATTAGATTTGCTGGGGGCTCTTAATTCAGAGATAGCAAAGTGATAGTTTTATTACTTTCCTACTTGTGGCAGGAGCATGTTGAGTTGTCCACAACACAGGTTCTGTGTTCTGGTGATCACACAGATGATGGGGGTCTGCAGAGTATTAACTTGGGCTTAGAAACATTAAGAAAATAATACAGAATGTCTTCAACACTAAGCAGAAAGATGATGCTGAGGTGTGGAGCAGTTCTGTTTTGAATGTTCTCACAGGTCAAATGTTGGTCTGGTCAGTTTCTTTCTCCGTAGTCAGTGGAGAGGTAATGCATCCTCCTAGAAAGGGATTCAGAGTATGCATCTCACTGCTGAGTTTTCTGGGAGCATAGAAAAACTGTGGTAGAGCTGGTTTATCTCAATCTTCTTGTCTTATAGGCTGACAGTCATCTTGCCTGATTTTAGGCATCTATTTCAGGATGAATTGACCCCTGAAAGAGTTTCTTTTCTACTGAATTGGTTTGGGACTTCACTTAGAGTTGCTGCCTCATTCAGTGTCCAAAGCTGGGGAGTAATTCTCCTGTTCTGTCCT